CAAAACCCCAAAACCCCAAAACCCCACATATTCATTTTTACTAATAATGAACATGAATTAATTAAAAAAAATAAAAATATAATGATAATTAACTTAATCCAAAAAGTTTCAAAATTTGATAAGTTAATCGCTTTTAAATTATAATTAAAAGCCCAATGAAGGATCAATTATCTCACTTAAAGGAGCCACCGACCTTCGAAGACTAAGTTACTCCTCGAAGCAGACTTATATTTAAAAGAAATATAGAATAAATCTAGTAAAATCAGGGAAATCAGCAGTAGTACAGCACTAGAAACAATGATCTTTCTAAGTTGAGTGAACAGACAATGAATTAGCTTAGAAATGCTAATAAAAGATTAACCTACAATATATCGTATGATGACCCATTAACAAATCTAAATGATGCAGTTAATATCCTAAAAATGAATAGAAATCAGTCCCTCATTACAAGTGGAATTAAAATAGCAAGGCCAAATCTGAGATTGGGAAATAAACTAAGTAAATTATTGAAAGTTTATTAGCATTTACTTTAGAATCATAGATGGTCCCAGAGTTACCTAAAATTTCTGATAGATCAAATTCATCTCCTAGAAAAAAACTACTTGGAATCCTGAAAATTAATGATAATATCTATTCGCCAAAGGCATCCGAGATACAATTGAATCATGGTTTAAGCGATATGAAGAAGCCTTATGTGCCAGACTTTGGCTACACTAATTACATGTCCTTTGATGAAGGTAAAAAAGTTACTTGGCAAAACTTAGCGAATCAAATATTGAGGTATCCATAATATGAAAAAATGCATAGAGTCTTGGAAGAGAGGAATGAAAAGTATAAGAAGTAAGTAACCATTAAAGTTTAGACAGGTTAGTCAATCTATTTAATTTTTAGAATGATGTAAGGAGACTTGGAGAAACTTAAAGATCTCTCAGGGATGGATAGAATAAGACTATCTTTGAGGAAATGGATATTTTAGAAACAAACAAATTAGAGTGTTGCCGATTTGGATAAGTTTCATAAGAAGCTAATGGAATTCGACAAAAAGTACTCTGGGATGAAGCGCGACATTAGTTAGATTTCTAGTGAAACTGAAACATTCAAATCATACATCCAGAAGATTAAAGCGACCAAAATATCAAGAATATAGCTCAGCTCTCGAAACAGACAGCCGGATTTTTAGGATAGAACTAATGATAACTCAATTCTATTCTAAGGTGATAGAAGCTCTTTATCTAAATCACTGGAGGTGATAGACAGGACTGACATTGAAAATACTAAAAAATCTCGAAATCCTGCTATTAATTCTGGTCAAGGATTATTAAGCTAAGGAGGCAGTATGGCAAGTTATAACAATTACAGCTAGAAAAAAATCATGAGTTCTCATACTGAAACTTAGAAGTCTCCAGTTGTACAAAGTTACTTTAGTGTTTAAAAAGATTTAGTCAATAGAAGATTGCAGAGACTGAGTTTGTAGTAAGAATAGATAGATAGTAGAGTAAAGACTGATGATAAAAAGTTTGAAAAGCTTAGAAAACAATTTAACGATTGGCTCAGATATTAGCAATAGTCATAGCAGAAAGAGGGAAAATCTCATGGAGTAGATTATTTAGATTTTATAAGAGAAAGGCAAAATTCTCAAGAACTCGGAACAAGCAGTACTAAGAATGTAAAAGTAAAAGCTATACTAGAGAGATACTCGGCTTATAATAGAACAGCCACGAATAAAAGTATTCCGAAAGTATTAACTAGGGAATTAAGAGATTGAAAATATAATGCAAAGTAATTAATAGTTGGCAAGTAATATATAGCAATGCACTTTTAGTGCTCAAACTTTTATTTATACATTACTATTTATCTTTAATAAATGGGTCATGGGGTTTTGGGGTTTTGGGGTTTTG